TACAACTATAGAATATCCACAAAAAGGTTTCTATGAATGATAGAGAAGAAGTTATGAGGGCTGTCCCAAACTGTATTTCCTCTTGAAATTAGCGTCGCATATCCACAAAAAAATTCTATAAATTGATTTTAAATACTCATTACATTTACATAAAGTGATTTTGTTTCTACCTTAAAATATGAATTGGATAGCGGTGAAAAGATGCAGCAACATTGTCAGGAAAGCGACAAAGATGGTTCAAGGCTGGGAGACGGTCAATTCAATCGTCGGCTAATGAGGTCACGCCGCTCACGCGGCGAGAATCGTCGCGCGCGGCAGTTGGTGCGGCGATTTCTGTGTGGACCTTTTCTTATCCATGTCCATAAGTTGGCTAGGTGACTGATAAGACCAGAGTGCTGGACATCAGTAAGCCAGCAAGCGTCACTGTAAGATCTCTGCAGTGATTTAAGCCTCACAGTACAAAGGTTGTACCATGTAAAGGTTGTCCTTTTGAATTTAATTTGACTTCTTTATTAATCAGCTGCCTGAATTTCTATCAGTGATAATCTGGTTCAATCAGAAAGAATATCACGTTCCAAGACACAGAGGAACGGTGAGGAAGGCGCTAACATAAGCATGATAGGATAAGTTTGTAATAATGGCAAGGGGCAAAGAAACTGCATTTTCAAGGGGTTAGGTGATTCCTATTCCATGTTTCATGACTGGAAACTTCATCTAATCTTACATTCCCCAATGTTTGAATGCTGAGTTCTTTGCAAATTCGCCGCGCATCGCGGGCTGCGGCGGCTGGCGCGGCGACCTAGCCACTGCCACGATTGAATAGTCACGCACCCTTCAAGGCTCGCTGGCCATTACGAGTGGGGCACAACTTCAACCGTAAAGTTGTTAGAGAGAGATTGAACAAAGTTGAGCCTGCGCCACAATCGCACCACACAGCAAGATAATTTCAGTAAGGTTGGTATTTTTCGGACAAAACTGGTTTATACAAACAGATCCTGCGAATATAAACACTTTTGAAGTGACTTGCGAAGGTGGCCGATTCACTTCAGCGCTTGCAATTTTAGTTAAGGAATGTGAAAGGTGTTTTTTGTAATGATGTTGTGTCAAAATTTCGCTTCCTATGACTGCATAATGGACTCCAAGGATTACCGCAAAGCCTTGCTAAGACATCCGATCTCTTTCTGAGCCGACGGCGTCGTCTAAACTACGTCAGAACAGTGCAGGATACTCATGTAAGTCACTCAATCAGAAGCGGCAGCACTCCCAAAACCCGCATGATCTGCGCAGCTTATTTTGAAGTTCTGGTCGTGTTCTAGTAGAACATCTCAGGGGCATCTTCGTCATGAGTAATATGCGGATAAACGCCAGTTAAAAATTACACAAGAGCGTGTACAAGCAACCCTTGAACACGGAAGTGAATCGATGGTGATCTGCCTTGGAATCTCAATTCCAGTAGGCCACGGAGGCTATTTGTGTTGCCCTGAAGGAAAGATTTAAGTTCCACAGAAGTGATCGAGAAGAGTAAAATTGCCTAATCGAAAGAAGGCCGGCCTCCTGATGAGGGCCAAACGGGATTGCCAGGAACGGCAGCGAGAGATTTGACGTCGGCGATTTAGCACGGCTCACTCGTGTCGCAGTTGGCGCGGTAGGCCTACCGACTTAGCAGAGAGAGCTTTAGCGTTGAAGAGCGTACGATGAGGGTCGCATCAATACGGAAATCAACGGGCAATGTAAGGGGTCGCCTTCTCACGTTCTGGTCCGTTTCTCATGGTTTTTCCTTCTTTCTTCACTATCACTGATCATACTTAACTTAATTTTGGGTCGCCTTTTCAGTAAATTTCGCCTCTAATAAAGGAGGTGCCGTAGATTATTATGCCTTTTATGACGGGATCATATATATTAGCTAACTGCTCTCTTTCTCAGGGTGACCTTATAGTTACGAAACGGTGCTGGAATCCAAAAAAATTATTACAAAAAAGTTAGAGGAGAAGTTACTTTCGGCAAAATCGCGGTACTAGGGTTTCATGCTAAGGAATCATTAGGTGGTACAAGAAAGATTAGCCAGTTATTTGACCTCTGCGGAAGTACTACTATCAAGGTTGACCTTTCATCACAAATGCAGTATACATTGCGACCCAACCGTTACAGTCAGAACCTGTGACACCAGCTTACAACTGCGAGTAATTCTTCAGTCATTTCAGAAACAATGTTAGGGTCTAGCCATTAAGTGCGCCTTGCCACGCGCACGGTATTGGTATAAGTATTTTGTAATAATTTTTTGGATTCAGCACCGTTTCGTAACTATAAGGTCACCCTGAGAAAGAGAGCAGTTAGCTAATATTAATGACCTTCATAAAAGACATAATAATCTACGGCACCTCCTTTATTAGAGGCGAAATTTACTGAAAAGGCGACCCAAAATTAAGTAAAGTATGGTCAGTGATAGTGAAGAAAGTGTTCTGTCTGTCTGGGTTTGGTCATTGGAAGCAAACTCATCCAGTGAATTAACCCTTTGACGACAATGCGGATTTGCACGTAGCGTGCTCGTGGGACCACGCCTCTTTTTGGCGCGCCCAACTCTCGCACAAAATGGGGCAAAATTGTCCCTAAAAGCAGTTTTTCTATCAAAATTTTGACTATGACAATAAACAAAATATGACTGCAGTCTTAAGCTTTATGATCATGTATTGTTGGAATTAGAAGTGGAAGTTTGGAAAGAAATCTCGGATTTCAAAGGGATGGTGTTTGAAAACTCTAGAAGTTCAAATGTACAGTAGAATTTTGATATAGTTCAAACTAAGACTGTGAAAAGACGTAGGGTCCTGATCTGTAATTCACCTTAAGCTTAATAATGTAAAACACTAGTTAATACATCGCCGAGCGAAGTGCCATATCCTAAAATTTCATATAAATTAGCTAGTAACAAACATTTCTGCAAAATATGCTAAACATAGGCGTAACGGAGCTTGCTTATAATTACTGATATGTTGAAAATGTTTTAAAGTTTATTTTCGTTAATTTATTATTATTTATCTCGAATTTCTTTTAATTTATATTATTAAATACTGTTCTGAATATGTTTAGAAAATGTGTGGAATGAGTAAAGAGAGAAATTTTTAGGGCTGCACCCACAGGTGGGTGCCATTGTCGCCAAAGGGATAACAGGCACTGACTTTTACATTGGCTGGCCTCCGCTAGTCATTGTATAGGCCAAATCGCATTCAGGATCCCATTAGAAAAGTGAAAAAAGAGAGTTGACGTGAAATGTTTACTCATTCATTTTTTCTCCATCGAAGGCCATCACGATTACCGATGAAAGTCAACTGCACAGCTCGGCCCTAAGGCCGATGTCAGACTTTGCGAACCGCGCGGCCAGTGAATCACTCAGTTGGCTGGTACCGCAACGCGACCGCGGACGCTAGCGAATCGCGCGATTCGCAAAGTCTGACATCGGCCTAAAGCAGAACTCAAATTCAAGCACCATAACTTTTTCTTATGTTGAAGCGAGAGATTACGATAAAGTGTGTGTGTGCAGCGTGGAAGTACATGCACCAGTGGAAGCAGTAGTCAGGGGCCGCCCAAGGAAACGAAATGTTGCGTTGTTGTGGTCAAAGGTGCGCTAGTTGC